GCTGCACATTTCCTAAAAATGGAATCATAGTATATGTGATCCTTTGTAACTGGCTTCTTTCACTTAACACAGCATTTTCAAGGTTCATTCACGTCATGGCATGGATCAAAACTTCATGTCTTTGTTATATTTCATTATATGGATAGTCCACATTTTATTTATCTATTCATCAGCTGATGGGAATTTGGGTTGTTTCCACTTTTTGGCTATTAGGAATGCTGCCATAAACATTCATGTACTGCTGGTAACTCTATGTTTATCTGTTTGAGGAACTGCCAGACTGTTTTCCACAGAGGCTGTACCATTTTACATTCCCACCAGCAATTATGAGGGTTGCAATTTCTCCACATCCTCACTAACACTTGTTATTATCTTTTTTATTACAGCCATCCTAGTGAGTGTGAAGTGGTATCTCATTGTGGTTTTGATTTCCACTTTTTGGAAATCAATGGCTAATGATTTCAGCATCTATTCATGTGCTTATTGGTTATTTGCATATGTTCTTTGGAGATATGTCTATTTAGATATTTTGCCCATTTTAAAATTATTTGTCTTTTGATTGTTGACTTGTAATAGTTCTTCTTTATGTAATTTAGATATGTGTCCATTATAAAGTACATGATTTGGGAAAATTTTCTCTTTTCTGTGTGTTTTTGCTTTCTGGATGGTGCCCTTTGAAACATAAATGTTTTTAGTTTTGATGATGCCTACTGGAAGAGAATCTTATTACCTTCCTAGTTTGAGTCAGCAAGAACAATTTAAACTTTTTAATTTAAAAAGTCCTCTTTCACCACATGTAGACACTTGGGCTGAAAGCCTGTTTATTTATAGAGATCAAGAACACTGGTTAAGATAAAATATTTTTTAAAAATACACATCTAAATTGAAGGATAAACAAAGTGGCTATATATGCGGAAGAAGATTGCAGGGCATTTACCACTGCCTCAGATCATACCCCTTGTACCAAGGAAGTTGGCAGCTACTATATGAAGGAATCGGTCAGGAAATCAAAGTTAAGCACCTTACCCATGTCTTTTTATTTTATTTTATTTTTATTTTGAGATGGAGTTTTGCTTTTATTGCCCAGGCTGGAGTGCAATGGCACGATCTTGGCTCACTGCAACCTCCGCCTCACAGGTTCAAGCAATATTCCTGCCTCAGCCTCCTGAGTAGCTGGGATTACAGGCACCCACCACCACACCCAGCTAATTTTTTTTGTTTTAGTAGGGATGGGGTGTCACCATGTTGGTCAGACTGGTCTCAAACTCCTGACTTATGGTGATCCACCCGCCTTGGCCTCCCAAAGTTCTGGGATTACGGGCGTAAGCCACTGCACCAGGCCTATTTTATTTTTTTAAGACAGGATCTCACTGTGTCGCCCAGGCTGGAGTGCGGTGGCATGATCATAGCTCAGTGCAGCTTCAAATTCCTGGGCTCAAGCAATCCTCCTGCCTCAGCGTCCCAAGCAGCTGGTTCTACAGGCGAACGCCACCATGCCCAGCTTTTTTTTTTTTAAGTAGAGACAAGGTCTTGCTATGTTGCCCAGGCTGGTCTCAAACTCCTGAGCTCAAGCGATCTTCCCACCTCACCCTCCCAAAGTGTTGGGATTACAGGCATGAGCCACTGTGCCTGGCCTTCTTTTCTAACCAATCTCACAAACCCACAGGGAAGGTAGAGTAGAAGGACTTATACACATAAAGATACAAGCCCAATAGACTCATTAAAAGTCCTTAATACTTCTCATTTCACTTATACAACAAACATTTACTATACATGAGATCTGCTTATAAGATGTATCTATATAAAGACATCACAGATGCAATGTGTTCAAAATCATCATCTTCCCTGCTCTCCAAACACCAACACTCCTAATTCATTCCTTCTTTCTGTGCTCTCTATTTGGCTAATGACACTACTATCTACCATCTCCCCTGATCTGTAGTTAGGCATGAGATATTTTCTGCAATTCACCATTGTGCTAGTTGTATCTGCTCTACCATGGCAGGTTTATATATAAAAAACATGTCTCAGTTCTGATTTTACCATATAGTCTACTAGCTATGCCTCCCAGTTTCTATTCATCAACAAAGGAGTAAAGAGACAGAGAACTAACATTCAAGTACCTTCTGTGTAGAAAGTACTCTATTAGGAACTTCGTATGTAGTCTTCAAAACAACTCTGTGAGCTAATATCTCAGTTTTAAAGATAGGAAACTAAAGGTCAAAGCAGTTAACTGGCATGCCTAAGATCACAAAGCTGGTAAGTGGTGACCCAGCTCCATCTAAATCAGAAGCTCATAAAAACTACTTACACACAGAAAGCCAGTATCTTTAGCATGCCATAAGAACAGGGCCCAGCAAATATACGGAGAACTTTACCAGAGCAACAGCCACTTAAATCAACATTTTTGGTATCAAACAAAAGACATCTTTTGTTGTTGACACCAAAACTTTATTTTACAACCTCGTCCACAAGGATCTTGGTGACCTTTTCATGTACACTGTTAAAATCCTGATTACTCTTCCATTAATAGAAGTTTTATCAATAAAAAGGAAATAAGCCTGCCCAGTATGATTTATTCATAGTAAACTCATGCTGAATCCTAGTTATCTCTGCATCTTTTTCTCAGCTGTTACTTGCCATTCTTATTGATACACAGTCCCCGAACCTGAAAGTGAGACTAGGAAGTCAGAATAAAGAAAAGGCAATCAAGATTTTGGAAAGAAAACATTTCCAATTGAAACTAATTCTGGGGTAAAAAAATTCCAAATAAAGACATTTCAATTTTTCTTACATTTTGTGACTTCATAAACAGTTTAAGAACTTAAAAAGTAAATAAATAAATCACTCCAGATTGTCCCAAATCTGGCAAGAGCATAATTATTCTCTTATAATTTTGCTCAGATATAGTTAATAGAGTATAAAAATAGGTTTATTTTCCATTTGGCTTCAGCCACTTTAGGAAGAAAGGGAAATCTTTAACTAGAAAAAAAAGCATTAAAGGAAAATTAAGTCAAAGATGATAGATCTTTTATCCAGGTAACTCAAAATAATTTTTTTAAAGCATACAAATGAGAAGAAATCAAATACTGTACTTTTATCTCCAGGTAGGATGGATCTGTAAAATCGGTCCTTCTTTTTCTTCTCTTCTGGGTTTGGAGGCAGAGGTTTAGAACCATGGTTTAGGGTTCCAGCATCTTTGCTGCCGGCTCCAATCATGGTGCTGGTATTTCTCATCGGAGGGGCTGGGGGTTTGTCTTGAATGTCTAGGCCGTTATTTGACATTGTCACCACCAGCAGCAGCTACTAGAATCAGAAATAACAATGTAACTGTCTTATTATTTTTGACCAAAAGGAAATACATGTTAAAAAAAATGCAAAGAATCCAAATTACACAGCCCTTCCTTCAGGGGCCAGCTCAAGCCTTCCACTGCACACTGTGATACCGCTAGCCTATTCAGTCAATAACACTCACTGATGTATAAATGCCTACTATGTGCCAAGCACTGCTGAAAAATCACAATATCTTGCTTTTCTCTGCATTCCCATTCTGAGACATTGAAGAGCATGGAAAACCACCATGATGTAGTTGAAAGCAGAAATTTGGCCTAGCAAAAACTAAGTGTGGATCCCAGTACCACTTACTAACTTTAGAGAAATTCTTTAACATCTTAGATTTTATTTATTCATCTATGTGAAGATTAAATAAAACTGCTAACAACATTCCACATAGTGAATTCTCTGCCAACCTCTAATTTTATAACCTTAAACAACTTACACTTTCCCTCTCAGGAATGGACTGTATCAAGGGTCAGCAAAGCTGCTGTTTTTGTAAACAGTTTTATTGGAACACAGCTTTGCCCATTCATTTATGAATTGTCTATGGCTTTTTTTTCCGCCAGACACTGGCAGAGTTTAGTAGCTGCAACAGAGACTGCATGTCCACAAACTTAAAATATTTACTATCTTGCCCTTTATAGCAAGTTTGCTGACCCCTGAGACTATATAATCTCTCCAGTATCTCCCTCCTCTAAAATTCTACCTTGTTCTTTAAAAAAGAGATGGGATTCTTGCTCTGTCACCCAGGCTGGAATGCAGTGGTGCAATCATAGCTCATTGCAGCCTCAAACTCCAGGGCTCAAGAGATCCTCCCACCTCAGCCTCCAGAGTAGCTAGGACTATAGGCATGTACCAACACGCCCAGCTAATTAAAAAAAATTTTTAGAGACAGGTATCTCACTACGTTGGCCAGGCTCATCTCAAACTCCAGGTCTCAATCAATCCTCCCACCTCAGTCTCCCAAGCAGCTGGAATTACAGGGAAGAGCCACTGTGCCTGGCTTTCTTCTTCTAAATATAAAATAGTCAATGCAATAACCATGCTGTCCTTTATGGTGTAGAATTTACTGGCAAATTCTCCAGTCCTTCTGAGATACAGAAGGAATAAAATCTAAAAGATGGATAGGCCAGGCACAGTGGCTCACACCTGTAATCCCAGCACTTTGGGAGGTGAAGGCGGGTGGATCACTTGAGGTCAGGAGTTTCACACCAGCCTGGCCAACATGGTGAAATCCCCTCTCTACTAAAAATACAAAAATTAGTCAGGCATAGTGGCAGGCGCCTATAATCCTAGCTACTCAGGAGGCTAAGGCAAGAGAATCACCTGAACACGGGAGGCAGAGGCTACAGTGAGCTGAGATCACACCACTGGACTCCAGCCTGGGTGAAGGAGACTCTGTTTCTAAATAAATAAATAATAAAAGATAGGGGGGAAATTCCCTATCACACATTATCAATAGTTTTAATGAAAATATATTATTACCTTAAAATAAATGTCCTTGACAATGAATATGAATATATCCAGAGTTAAAATTTCTCATTAGTCTTCCATGCTGCAGTAGAAATTATATATTTAACCATGACTATTTAAAATATAAGCTCCTTGGAGTTAAACACAACATTGCTTTAGTGAATAATGGGTCCAAAAAACCAGCACAATAATCACCAAGAGCTTTCAGAAATATAGATATCCTGTTTTTCCTCCGTAAACTTTGATTCAGAATGGCTAAATTAAGGCCTAAATTCTGTATTTGGAAAATTAGTGATCCCACTGCCAATCAGATTTGAATACTACTGCTTCAGATATCAATTACTTAAATACTATAAATAAAATCTATAGGAGGTTTTTTTTTTTTAACAATTTCTGATGAATAAAGAACTGATTCCCCCTACATCCAGTTTTTTCCTTAATCCTTTATCCAGGGGCTGTCAGTAATCTTAAAACATACTACTTTTCTACTTTTAAAACCCTTCATCGACATCTCAAAAGCAAGTTTTTGGCTTGCTTTTAGAGCCCTCTGTTATTTGATCAAACTCACCCATTAGTCTCATTCCCACCACTACCACTCCCTCTAATTTCCCTTATACTCTATCTACACCCAACTTCTCTAACTTCTTCAAATATCCCATAGCTTTTACACTTCTATCCCTTTGTGCATGCTGATACCGCTGCCTAGAATACCAATTTCCCTGTATTCCAACTATTAATTCACTCATCCTTCAAGGCTTAATTCAACTGTTATTTGATGAACCCATTTGGAAACGTGTCATCACTTTAAGAAGTTAGGTACCCCCTCCTCCATGTTCCCAAAGCAATGGTAACTTTCCAGGTTATCCTTTTTATTATTGCTGTTATAACTGTTTACAGGTATGTCTTCCCTAGGATCCAGAATGTTCTTCAAATATTGGGCCCAATTTTGTCATCTTTGTGATCCAACAATGCTTTACATAGTATCTAGCTCACAGTGAACTCAAATATTTTAATTAATCAAACTTTGCATAGAGATATATATCTTGCCTTTATGAAGTTTAACACAGATAAAATTCAAGGTTGTTCACTATGTGACATCTACCTGCCTTAAAACTAAGTCACTACACCTAGCACAGCCTAATTCAAACCACACCTCAGAAATCTGTTCCTCTTACTTGCGAAGTATTCTTATTTATACACACACACAGGCACACAGACATAGATACACACACACCCCAATGTGCTTCCTGTCTGTCAATGATTTCTCCCTTCTCTGACAGATAAAAATTTTACTCATCCATCAAGGCCAAACCCTAACCCCACTTCTTTGCATAATTCATCCTGACCCACCTTCGCAAACCAACTGCTCCTTCTCTTTTTAAACAAAAGAAATCAAGTAAGCAAAAACAATCTTGTTAATGTAGATTAACTCTGTGAGTGATGTGCTTTTTATCCATTTCTTCCAGTTTCACTTCCCAGATTTACCTTTGTTTTCCCTCCCAGCTGTAACTCAAGTCCCTCAGCTCTCCAAAGAGAACTTTTACTGTCTCAGTTCTCAAGTGTACCTTCCCACTCCAGGCTGCCGGTTCCAAAATTACACTCCCTGCAGCCACCTGATACCCTAGTCAGGCCCTTCCTTGCCTCCCAGGTCCTTCAACCAACAGCTTCATTGAATGTAACTTCATTTCAGGCCCACAGCCCATGATTATGCCAAGAAAGGTTTTGCCAACCTTCCTGATACAGGCTTTTCTCCATTTCTCAGTCCTCTTACTATGATTGGAGAATTCTGTGGTAAATCTTCACTTTCAAAGAGATTCCATTATTACTTAAAACCTAAAATATGTGTTGGAATCTAATTTGAATTATTTTACTACATTCTAACCTAGGTCATCCAGAGTATGCTTGAAAAGTCGCAAGGACAAGAAATCTAAAATCTCTAAAGACTGCTTATTCTATCTTTGATCATCTCAGTTAATGAGTTATCACTTATAATAAGCTCTTACACTGCACTGCAATAAATTGTTTACAGATGCGCTTTCCCTTTCACCCCTCTTCCCTGCTAGACTTAGACTATGAACATCTCAAGAACAAAGTTTATGTCCTACGTATTTCTCGATCCACAACACTAGGCCTGGTACAGAATAGGTAATCAATAAAGATTTGTTGAATAAACAAATGAATAGACAAAGAAAAAACTTACTTCTGTTAGTACTAAATCCTGTATCTTAGAGCTATTCAGAAAAGACCACTATCTCTTCCCCAGACAGAAATTTAAATACCTGAAATACTCTTTCAAGACCCCCCAAATGTATTTTCTCAATGCCAAACATTTCCGGGACCTTCACCTGTACTCACAGAACACAATTTTGTGCTTTCTTGATTACTTCCTTCTAAACTTACTTAACTTAGGGTTTTATACTACTTTCCAGTTTTCCTGCTGTCCTCCAACCAGCCCTTTCCTATAGGTTCTCTTTCCTCTTTTTACACTCATTGATCCCCTCAATGGTCACTCTGTATATCTACACTCACCATAATAATTAGCACATTTTTAAACCTATACCATTTTAAACTTTGTTTACAGGAAAACAGATCCAAAATTAGAAACATGCTCAACTTTTGAATAAGGAGAGCAAATATACCTTAATCTTCTAATAGTCTCTGTAAACCAAAGGTTTGGTAGAATGAAAAACCAATGCCTCCAACATGCTGCAATATAAAGCTAGGCTTGAAGCCAACCATTATGACAGCTCAGATAGCACCCTTCTATTCATCCTGGACAAAAAATGACTACAACAGACAGAGAGAAAGATAGAGTGATCACATTTTACCAATGTCCCAGAGGCTCAGGAACCTAATAATTGATGAGCAACTAATTATATTGAAGTATTAATTATGAATCAACTGAATGACTCTATAATTAAGGCAAGAGCACTGTGAGATTTCAAAAGGTAGGGCAATATTTTATTTTATTTTATTTTATTTTAGAAAAAAATGCAGAGCTTTGTTATTCTCAACACCAGTGGCAGCGGTCTCCATAGGATAGGGGAGTGAGTTCTGTCGATGGGTAGGGATAGGAGGCCCCTACTTGCCGAAGATGGGGTTCCACAGGACCACAATAACCGAGTCCCCGTGCAGGAACATCTTGGAGATGTAGCAGTCTTTGCTGACTGGCCTGGACTTCTTCTTGCCCTTGCTGCTCTCGGGTACCTCAGTCCACATGTCTTTCATGTTCTCCAGCACCATGTTGCAGTGCCTGTTGAAGGCCTTCACACGGCCCGGGAGTTTCTTATTGTCGCTGCAATTGATGAGCTCTTGGGTGTTATTCTTGACGGACTGGGTGTGCACAGAGTGGACCCATGTTAAATTCCTCCTCCTCTTGCTTCTGCAGCTCCTGTGGGGTCATCTCGCTCTCCAGCTTGTTAAGAAGGCTCATGTTGGTCGCTATGCTCTCGGTTCACTCCTGTTTCCTCCGCGTTGCTCGGTAGGGCAATATTTTAAAAGATGGTTGGAATTAAAGTCAGGAGACCCAGGTTTAAGTCCTAGCTCTGCCATTTATAAGCCATGGCCTCTGCAGAAGTCCCATCGTCTATGGCCTGTAATTAGATATTTCTTACTATGCAGTCTCTAGACTTAATACTAGTCAAGAGGCAACCAAGGAGGGGAAGTGATTTGTGCAATCACTTTTGAAACATGCTATAAAAAGCATAACGATACAGTGCTACAGTAGAAAGAAAGTAAAGAAAACACTTTTTAAGCAGCCACTATGTGTAAGTACTTTACATACTGATTCAAAGTAGACAGGGATTCAGGGAAGGAATGTGCTCACCAACAACTACTTCTTTCTACTCATTACCTTGGATTCTATAGTCACTGGTATAAAACAGAACCAAGTTAAAGATTTTAAGATGCACCTAACATCAAAGCCAGAGGCAACCTTGGATGTCATCTAACTTGACTGCCTATTGTTACAGTAGAAATGCTGAAGTCTGGAGTGCAAGAAGAAATCACCTAAGATCACACAGATAGAACCTTCTTTAAACTGGCAGAAATTTTACTTATCCTTCCCAGCAAAACTCAAACCTCATCTTTTCTTAATTTTTAATTTTTTGTAGGTACATAGTAGGTGTATATATTTATAGAATACATGAGATATTTTAGACACAGGCATGCAATGTGAAATAATCACATCATAGAGAATGGGGTATTCATCCCCTCAGGCATTTATCCTTTGTGTTACAAACAATCCAATTCTACTTTTAGTTATTTTTAAATGTGCAAGTTATTATTGATTATAGTCACCCTGTTGTGCTATCAAATAGTAGGTATCATTTATTCTTTCTATTTTTCTGTACCCATTAACCATCCCTGCCTTCCCACTAGCCCTCCACTACCCTTTCCAGTCACTGGTACCATCCTTCTATTATCTATGTCCATTAGTTCAATTGTTTTAATTTTTAGAACCCACAAATAAGTGAGAACATGTGATGTTTATCTTTCTGTCCCTGGCTTATTTCACTTAAGATAATGATCTCCAGTTCCATCCATGTTGTTACAAATGACAGGATCTCATTCTTTCTTGCGATTGAATAGTACTCCACTGTGCATATGTACCACATTTTCTTTATCCTTTCGTCTGTAAAGGGACACTGTGATTGCTTTCAAATCTTAGCTATTGTGAACACTGCTGCAACAAACAGGAGTGCAGATATCTCTTCAATATCTTTCTTGTGGGTAGATACCCAGTAGTGGGATTGCTCGATCATATGGTAAGTTTATTTTTAGTTGTTTTTTTTTTTAAATCAGCCCTCATCTTTAAACTCTCTGCCAAAGAATTTTCCAACTATACTGTTCTTGAGGTAATTCTAGCCCCTTTGTGTTCTGCTACTTCTGATTTATGATTAGTTCAGTCAAATCTAGCCAATGGCAAATATAAAAATATATTCACACATTTGAGCTGGACTTGACTGACATTTACTAAATATCTACCATGAGCTAAATACAAGAGAAGATAAATGAATTCTTATTCCTCCAATCAAAAAATTATAAATACAGAATACAGAAGTAAACACATCTGAAAGTTATGTACACCTTTTGCTGCAGTTGCAGGTTCTTCATTCAAGTGCAGTTAAAATCAATACACTTTTATACGTAAGGTGCTATATATGCTAGAAACCAAGAATAGATGAAAGAAGACAGATAGGTAGATAGAGAGACAGATAGATAATGAATAATATACAACTTGACTCTAGAGACTATCATCATCTAGCTAACAAGGGGCAGGACCTAGAAAACCATAATGCTAGGCCAATTGTGAATAGTGCTGTAGAACAATACAAAGAGTAAAATGTCCAAACACAAAGGAAAGAAAGGTTAGATTGAATTTGAATGATCAGTGAAGTTTCAGAAAAGAGGTGGTAATAAGAGTAGCAGAACAAAAAGAACAAAAAGGTCAGACTAGTGGTCTTTAACTCTAGTCTATTAGAATCCCCTATGAGCTTTCTTCTTAAAGATCACTGGTGCTGAAGTTTTATACCAGTGCTGAAGTACTCAGGGAGAAGTATATTAATATCTGCAATTTATTTTCAAATGCATTTTAAGAAATAAGATTAAGGAACATACAGATATAATATACATGTCAATATATAATAGATATGATAAAGTTAGTATATGAAAATGTTAATGGTAGGAGAATCTTGGTGGTGGGTACACAAGTACTCACTATGAGGTTCTTTCAGTGTTTGAAATTTTTCCTAATAAAATGTTGAGGGGGAAAACATTAATGCTTGAACTCTACTTCCAGAGTCGTTGATTTAATTGGTCTGGGATAAGTCCAGCCATTGGTATACAGTGCTTGGTCCAAAGAAAAGAAACAATAAATGAGTGATTTTTCATGTAGAAAGGTGATGCATCTAGAGCACAGAATAACATAAATGTGAGAGTACAGTGTGGCAGAATGCAACATAAAGGACTAAAGTGGGAGACTGGAAAAGTGGGACAGTGCAGATCACAGCAGGTCTTTTATGTTCTGCACCATATACAGCACTAGTCAGAAAAATGGTCCATTCTAAGCAGTTCTAGAACTGCGCAATAAATGCCCCGTGTTAAAAATAAAAGATGGGGCTTTTAAATAAAAAACAAGGGTGTGGAGGGATAACAATGAGAAGAGGTATTGCCTGGAGGAGGAGACCATCTGCTACCCATGTGTACTGAGGACTCACTGATGCCTTGAGTTCACAAAATGGGACTAAGCACCAGAGAAGATAAATGAATTCCAGTACTTAGTCCAAGTCACATAATGAGACCTGGAGTTTAAGGGAGTCCTCTACACTACCTAATAGAGTTGTTAAAATTCTAAGAAACCATTTCCTCAGAAAACCTTTAGGACTAACCATTTTTACAACTAGGATTTTAGCATTATTTGGGCTGTTTTTAATAATCACTAACATTAGATCACACTTTGTAGTTTACAGAAAACTTGGAAATCCATTTGGTATCATTTTTCTTATTCATTTGTACAAATATTTATTCATGACCTAATGTTTGACAAGCTATGCACTTCATGCTGAAGATATAACAGTAAGCAAGTCAGAAGAAGTAAAGTTTCAGAGATGCTGCCAGTCACTCAGAGTCGTACAGCTAGTGGGCAGTAGAGACAGGAACCTGAAATTAGGTCTGTGTGGTGACAGAACCACTACACCACACTACACTGTTGACTCTAGAGGCAAAGGAATGGACTAGATAAGCTCTAATATTACCTCAAGAAGAAGAAATAAAACCTGTTCTATACACTAATTGCACTTCTTAGTCCCAACAGCCCAGAGCAGCTGCAACTGGCATGACCAACACTCCATCCAGAACTGGGGAGTACTGTATGCCCTTGACGCCTGGTTATGAGAATCTGATCTTTAATTAAATTGTGCCAGGAGGTTTTCTTTGGCAGGGGACTGGAATGCTGCAGTCTTGAATTTGCTGAGGGATGTCCTTCTAACATGTCAAAGACACTCCCACTATGTAGCCTGGGCCACTTGCTCTGGTTTAGCAACAACTGCTAGAGCAGCAGGGAGAAAACCTGTTGGCTGTTTCTGGGCTGTTAGGAAAGCTACTTTACTTTCTGATCATCAGTTTCCTTTTATGTAAAACACAAATAAGACCACCTACTTTACAGAGTTATCATGAGAATTAACAAGCATATATAAAAGCACCTAGCATTCTGCCTGACACAAAATAAATGTTCAATAAATATTTGTTCCCTTCTCCCACCTATCTTTCTAGTTTTTTGTCTCTACTATTCCCTAAACATGTCATTCCAGCTTAGTATGCTTTCATGTTCCTGCCTTTGCCTATACTGTTTTCTCTGCCTAAAATGTCCCAACTTGTCTACCAAGCAAACTCCTATTCATTCCTCAAGGCCCAACCTGACTTACTTCCTCTATGAAATCATCACAGAAGCCCCTCACCTCTATCTTTCCCCAAAATTTAAGAGATCCCACTACTGCTATTCCTGAAATGTAACAGCATTTTATATGCACTTCAATGCAACAATTTCCAAATTTTATCATATCAACTATAATCCATGCTTGTTGTCCTCACCAAGTCATGAATAACTCAAGGGAAAAAAGCTGAGTTTGTTTAATCTCGATATCCCCAGGGCTGACCCAGTACAGAGCTAAACACACCTGGTAATTATCCAAGGTTCACTGACTAAGGCAGCCTGGGTTAGCTGGAAAAAAAAAAAAAGAGGGAGCTAAAAGGATACTGAAGAATCAGCCAGTTTTCTTTTTATAAAATAAAAATCTTTATTTTATGGGAACCTGGAACCTATAGGGGTATGCAATTTACCTAAGATCACGAAATGAAAGAGTGGCAAAAATATGACTAGCTTCTGATTATTCTCTTGAAAACACTCTTTCTATACTAATTATACAATTTGAGACAGAATGAACAAGTGACCATACCTGGAGGCTTCCTACAATTAGAATAGAATGAGAGACAGCAAAGTGAAGTGGAAAGGGCAGAGAAATTTAGAGTGAGAGACTGAAATTCTCTTAGGCTAGCTCTGTACCTCTAACCCTTCCCACCCCCATCCACACCTACACAACTTCCTCACTCCTAACACCCTTACAGTCACTAGAGTTACTTCCAGAAACCAATAATTGTATGTCTTATCCTCTGCCTACCATCTTAGGAAATTCCTGACCTGCAACACCAGTTGAGTTACTGCCGATAATTAAGGCAAAAATTCAAATTTCACCTTCAAACCTCCAAACCTCCCATTGGATGATATACAATGATATAAGTTGAGGTCCTTACAATCTGAGAGCTAGAAGGAACCACAAAGGGGCCACCCCTTCAACCTCTCAGGAAACAATGGAATCTATTGTACTGTCTCCTTGTTGGTTGACCTTCCAGCCAATCTCTGCCTGAACATGTCCTGATTTCCCACACTGTCATCCATGACAGAAGTAAATGAAACTCTCATCTCCAACCTTTTCTGTAAACTCTCTAACCTGACCAAATTCCCTCCCCCATCCATTTCCAAACCATGTATTTCTCTTCCTCTTGTAAAAACCTCTATTTTCCTTTGAGTAGCTTCCACTGCCTGCTATCACATGTCTTTGCAGCCTGCTACTCACTTTCTGGTCACTCCCACTGAAAGGCTTTAGTTCCTGGTTCAATGTTCTTCTGAACCCCTCTAGTCATCATTCTAGGTGACTTCAATAGCCGCAATGATGATCGTGTCAACACCCTGGTGGCCACTTCATTTTCTGACCTCCAGTCCAAGTTAGCCATTACTCTCATGATTACACTCAGGACCTTATCACCAAAATGTGCAACAATTCCAATATCTAGAATAAACCATATATACTTCAAATACAACCTCCTATCCATGCAGCTCACGAATTTTAGTGGAAATTGCTCAAGAATTTCCACTATAATTCCTTGACTTCAATTTGAGTTCCAATAAACCATCCAGCAGTCCCCTGCCTTTTTTCCTCTCTTTATCTAATCATAGTCCAACAAAATTACTCAAACATCAAAAACCATCAACCCCTTACCCTTCCCCCCTTTTCCAAAATTAAACTGGCAAAAATCCCAGCTTTGGGATAGTTGAACTCAACTTTCTCCCAACTGTCATTAGACTGAAGCAGCCAAATGTCTGAGAGAACATTATAAAATCCAGTTAACTGCTTTCACTTAAAAGTTATGATTACCTTCTGCTTTGGTCTGAATGTGTCCCCCAAAGTTCAAGTATTGGAAACTTAATCTTCACTGCAAGTGTTGAGAGGTGAGATAATTAGAAGGTGATTGGGTCATGTGGACTCTGGCCTCATGAATGGATTAATGTCATTATCATAGGAGTGGATTAGTTATCAAGATAGTGGGTTCCTGATCAAAAGGATGAGTTCAGCCCCCTTCCCTTGTTACTCTTGCTCTCTTGCCCTTGCACCTTCCACCATGGAATGACACAGCAAGAATGCCCTCAGCAAATGCAGGCACTCCGGACTTCTCAGCCTCTAGAACTGGAAGAAATACATTTCTTTTCTTTAGAAATTACCTGGTCTGTGGTATTCTATCATAGCAACACAAAATAGAGTAAGACAGTTTTCCTACATATAATTATCTTACCTCAAATGGGAATTCAATTGGATTTCCCACTAACCCTTCCCTTTAGCTAATGAGCTTACTTTCAATGGGAAATCAGAAATCTTGGCAGAACTACATCTTCCTACCCCCAAATCTATGTGCCTCCCTGTATCTTCATCTATGTTCTCCTTCTTCCTTCCAGTTACAATGAAGGAGGTGTTCTTCCTCTCATCGAAAGCCAATTCTCTTTCATCCTTGTATTCCTTCACTCCTCATCTGGAATAATCCCCTCTTTCAGCTATGTCAAGCTTTCCCTCTCTGTTAGATATATTCAGTCATTCAACAAACATTTATTGAGTATCTACAATGTACCAATACTAATCTAGTTAAATAAGAAAGGCCCTGTTCTCATAGAGTTTATGGTCTAGGAATAGAAGCAGACAGAAATAAGCAAATAAAAACACACCATCAAGTCGTGGGAGAAGCATGGGGGATGGTACATAAGAGAAGATAATCAAGACGGGCTTCTCTGAGAAATAGTTACTTAAGACCTCAATTAAATGAGACAGCAAATCACAGCAATATCTGGAAGAGCATTTTAAGCAGAGGGAGCAACAAGTACAAATGTCTTAGATGAGAATATACTGGACACATAGAACAGCAAAAAGATTGGCAAGACTAAAGTTGAGTAAACAAAGAGAAAGGTGGTAAGAGACGTAGATGTAGCCAGAGGTCAGATTGTGCAGAACTATTTATAGGCCACAATTTGGCTTTTGCAGCAAGTGTGGGAAGACACTGAAGGGTTTTGAGCACTGATCTATGTTTTTAAATAGACCGCTCTAGCAGCAGAGGAGAATAGGCGGCAAGGAAACAATGCAGAAGTGGAGAGACCATTAGGGCGTTATTACAATAATCCAGGTAAGAACTAATGGTGGCTCAGATGACTGGCAATAGGGGGAGAGAAGTCAAAGGCAGATACATTTTGAAGGTAGAATCAAATGGTTTAAAGACTAGATATAGCATGTAATAAAAAAGGAAAAATTAAGATGATACTTAAATTTCTGGACTGATCTGAGAAATACTGAGTGAATATAAACAAGCTTTGGTGTCTCCTATTCAAAGACAGAGAGACAGACAGACAAACAGACAGACAGACACACACACACACACACACACACACCCCTCCCTTAACACCCAAATCTTCCTCCAAATACCACTTATTTCTCTGCTCCCTTTTGTAATAAAACTTCTCAAAAGAACAGTCTACTTAAACTATCTCCACTTCTTCCCCTTCGGTTTGCCAACTAACAATTTACCATTTCATCAAAAGCAGTCTTGTCAAGATTATCAGTTATCCCCATTTTGCCAAATCAAATGCGCATTTTCCATCCTCACCTTACTCAGTATCTTTGCAGCATTCAATGTAATTGACCTCTCTTCTCTTTCAAATACTCTAGGGAAGAACACTCACTTGGTTTTCCTTCTATCTTTTTGTCTACTCCTATCTCCTTTGCAGAATCCTCCTTCTCCAGCTATCATCCACACATCCAAGACTTGGAACCTTCCTTGCTCGGAATCTTCCTTACTGATATACTACACTTTCCCCAAGATTATTTCCTCCATTCTCATGGCTTTACATATTATTAATATATTGATGATGTCCAAGTTTTGGTCTCTAGACAAAACAGCTCTCTTTTAGCCTAAAAACTATCTATTAGACAACTCCACCTGTGTTTCTCATCAGTATCTCAAATCTAACAAAACCAAATGGAATTCCTGGTTTTCACAGCATCATCATGAGTTGTACTTATATCTGTTTACTTATTATACATCTTCCTTAATAAATGATAAGCTTTGTAAAGGAGCAATAATAAGCTTTGTAAAAGAGTTTACTCTTGCCAAGTCCTATTTAGTTGCTAAGTATACACCAGTAAGCACAGCAGACTTACCAGTGTATACTTGATAACTAAATAGGACTTGGCAAGCGTACATACTCAGGGCCAGGTGCACCTGTAATCCCAGCACTCTGGGAGGCTGGGGTGGGTGGATCACTTGAGCTCAGAAGTTTCAGACCAGCCTAGGCAATGCGGTAAAATCCTGTCTCTACAAAAAATACAAACAGTAGCCAGGTGTGGTGGCACACACCACCAGTAGTCCCAGCTACTCTGGAGGCTGAGATGGGAGGATTGCTTAAGCCAAAAGGTCAAGGCTTAAGTAAATCAGCTGAGATTGTGCCACTACACCCTAGGCTGGGCAACAGAGTGAGACCCTATTTCAAAGGAAATAAAAGAGTAAACACCCAGTATAGACACCAATTTACTAGACCCTGTCTCTGACCTCAAAAGTCTCACAGACTACTGGGAAAAGCAGATATTAACCACAATAACAATACAAAATGATAACTGCCATTACTGGGTGGTGACAGGAAAGATATAGGTGCTGCATGAATCCGGAAGAGGGGGCCTCAGGAGTCAGGGGACTTGTGGAGTAAGTATAGCTAGTAAGTGCCTACTATATAATTATTTTTCTTTTATTATATAATTATTTTTAAGCTTTATAATAACCCTTCAAAGTAGGTATAAATATCTTCCATTTTTATATATGAAGCTTAAAAAAATTAAAAATCAAGTAACCAGTAAGTGGTAGAACCAGAATTTGAACTGAAGTCTTAAAAATCTACTTTTAAGTGCTCCCTCCCGTTTTTGTTGTTACATCATAAGAAGTCATTAAAATATCATTTATAATTGCCACCTACTCTCTGTATGACCTTAAATAAGGCACATACTTCGTGGTCTCTGACCATGAAGCTCAATCACTAGTCTCTAAAGCCCTATCTACCCCACCCCTTTTCCATTACTCATCAAGGATTGAGGCTCAATCCTCTCCCATTAGTCTGTGAGTTTTTTGAGGGCAAAGAAAGGGTCTAGTAAATCTTGGTGTCCATATTGAGTGCCTACTCTTGCCTGTCAGTGGCAACCCTAGGTTTTCAGGCTATAGCATCTGAGCATTTTTTCACAGCTTGAAAATGCATTCAGGAACAACCACAATAACATCTATATAGCATTTTACAAAGCATTTTCACACATTCATTATTTCATCTGATCCTCGCCAACCCTATGAGGCATTAAATCCCTATCCTACAGAGGCCAGTGGAAGTAAAAATGCCTAGCCTAGCTGCATCTGACCTCTGAACTCTACAGCCTGCCAGAAATTGAATTTAAGAAAATGGAGAGGGGAAGAAGGGAAGGAAGAGATCAAATGACTCGTAAAGGGAGCTCAGCACATAGTCACCCAAGTAGCCTCAAGCCAGAAGTTAACAGGGAAAAAGCCTTTTCCCTTCCAAGGTAATGAGTGTTTGTTTGGCCATGGCACAGAGACCTACCACATGAGATTGTTCTTTTTTTCATGTCAGCAGTACCTACAGTCTAGCCCCAAAAGTAGGCAGAAAAGAAGATACAGGAAAACTCTTTTGTACACCGTATGTATACACAAACTCAGGAGATAACAGAGGATAAGAAAATAGATATCACCTTTAGAGAAGACTTAAGTTTAGGTCCTAGCTCTGTCTTGCTAAATCAAATGTGCCTTCTGCATTATCACAGCCCCTTGTGCTTCCTTCTACAATACTTACCACATGAGATTCCATATTCCTTGACCTGCATTTGAGGGCAGCAACTGAGTACAATTTCAATTTTTGTATACCTAGGAACCTAGTACCATAACTAGCTTAGTTATGATGGTTCAGAGATATTTGATAATGGATGGATGCAATATTCAAAGCTTTTTTTATATAAATACATTCCACATTCTAGTGTAGACAGTGAGTACCAATAAACCAGCAACCTTGTCATTCTCATCTCTGCTTTCCCTCTAATTCCCCCACTTTAAGGACACTGCTCACAGAAATTTTGTTGATTAACAAAGTGAAGAGACAACCCACAAAATAGGAGAAAATATTTGTAGGCTATTCATCTGACAAAGATTAATAAACAGAATATTTAAGAAGCTCAAACAACTTAATAGCAAAAAAACAAGTAACCCAATTTTAAAACAGTCAAAGATATGAATGGACATTTTTCAAAAAAAGACATATAAACAGCCAACAGGTACATGAAAAAAATGCTCAACCATCAGAGAAATGCAAATCAACACCACAATGTGGTATCATCTCACTCCAGTAAAAATGGCTTATATCAAAAAAACAGGCAGAGGCTGGGTATGTTGGCTCACGCCTGTAATCCCAACACTTTCGGAGGCCAAGACAGGCAGATCACTTGAGCCCAGGAATTCATGACCAGCTTGGGCACCATAGGGAGACCACACCTCTAAGAAAAAAATTTATTTATTTTTTTAATTAACTAGGCATGTTGGCATGTGCCTGCAGTCCCAACTACTTGAGAGGTTAAGGTAGGAGAACTGCTGGAACCTGGGAGGTTGAAGTTGCAGGAGGCTATGATTGTGCCATAGCACTCCAGCCTGGGCAACAGAGCAAGACCCTGTCTGAAAAAAAAGAAAGAAAAAGATAGGCAATAATAGATGATGGCAAGGATGGAGAGAAAGAAGAACCCTCATATGCTGTCAGTGAAAATGTGAATTAGTAGAGCCACTAAGGAGAATAGTATGGAAGTTCCTAAAAAACTAAAAATAGAACTACCATATGATTCAGCAATTCCACTATTGGGTATATATCTAAAAGAAAGGAAATCAATATATGAAGGAGATAACGCACTCCCATGAATACTGTGGCACTATTCATAAAAGCTAAAATGAAAATGTGTGTGTGTGTGTGTGTGTTACACATGTAACACAATGGAATATTATTCAGTCATAAAAAAAGAATGAAATCCTGTCATTTTCAGCAACATAGATGACATTGGAGGCCATTTTGTCAGGTACAGGAAGACAAATATCACATGTTCTCACTCATATATGGAAGGTAAAAAAGTGTATCTCATGATGATAGAGTAGACTGGTGGTTACCAAAGGCCAGGAAAGGGAGTGGTGAGGATGAAGAAGGAGAAAAGGATATAAATGTCCTTATTAAAATGGAACTGTACACTTAAACATGATAAACATGGTAAATGCTTTCACATTTTTTAACTAAAAAAAATTTGCTGAGTAGAAATCAGTCCAAAAAGCCGGTCAGCAAAGGGGAAGATAATTAACCTACATAGTCCTCTTCCCCACACTATAATCTTTCTCTTTCTACATATACCCTGACCCCAAATAACCCCTATCTTGTCCAGGCTACCGTCTTTTTCAAAGAGCACTGTCTTCTCCCCCAGGCCTCCTCCTCCTCCTCCTGTCCCTCTATCCTGCTATCCTCCCTCTTCTTCCCTGGGCTACCTCCTTTTCTCCAGATCAGCACTACCTCACAGCTGCCAGAGTCTCTGGTCCTCCCAGTCATTCATCTCACTAAAGGGAACTTGAACCTCTGCCCAACACTACTTGACATTTTTGCTCTCCTCCCACTCAAGCCCCCCACTTCCCATCTTGCTTATTACCTACTGCCTACCTGCTGCCCCACCACCACCAGAAAAGAAGACAGGAAACAAATGCAGGAAGAAGAATTGCTTGTTGGCAGGCCCAAGGCAAAGCATAGAGGCAGTAAGGAGAGAGAATGGTATTTGGGGAAGATAGAATTTGGAGGTAAAAGCTAGAAGCAAGTGAGTTAGGTAGAAAACAATGTTTGGACCTCACAAACACAGCAGAAGGTCCCTAAAAACCAGTAACCTACTAACAATGAGAAAGCTTAACCAAAAATTTTAAGAAAAGAGAAGAAAGCCTAATCGAGAGGAGGAGGATCCGAGAGAAGGAAGGAAAGACTGGCTACAGAGGGGGAGAAATAGGAAAGGGGAAGCACGAGGGGAGGAGGAAGGGTGAAGAGAGGGTGGGAGAAAAGGTAGGCAGGAGGCAGGGCTAAGACAGGAAAAATCAGGAGGAGAAAATAGAAGAGTGAGGAGAGGAAGAAGACGTAGAGTCATCAAAAAACTGGGGGAAGGAAAGAGTTCCAAAATAATTAAAGTAGGTTATTATCAGGCCTGACATGAACTTCTTGGTGCCAGATAATAAAGAAGGAAGGAATTATAGTGATTAAGATATTACCACAGCCAGGTCTGTCATTAACTTAGCAGAATAAGGAAGGAGCTCCAGAGAAGAGAGTCTAGTTTAAAGCAACTTTATACCTAAAGACAGAAAAATTGGCCAGTTTAGAACCATTAACATACCTTGACCTTCTACTTCCCAACCCTGCCTCCCTACACCTAACACACCTACACACCACACTAAAATAAGCATTAGCATTCTCAAGCCTCTGCCTTGCCTCTGAAGAACCAGCAAGAGGCCATTCAAAAGGCTGGCTGGAAAACAGTATGGTCTATTTCCCAAGTTCTCCTCTCTTCTGCAGTGTTGAGGGGAACATCTCTGCAGCCCATTTTAGCATTTTAAACCAGCTCACCTTTCCAAAAGATGGTCTGAAGGCTTGGAAAGCCAGAGTAACAAACAATGTCAAGTCCTTCACTGCACAGATAAGGCAACTGAAGATGTCTGAATAGGACCAGTCCTCCCAGGTCTCCTGTCTCCCAGTTCACTCAACCTCTTAACAGAGAAAAGCCCCACAGTCCCAACAGGCCAGCTGCCAAGCCAAGATAGAGGAAAACATCACCTTGGCCACCAAGCAGAAGGGGGCTTGCAAAGAAGCAGAGTTCCTGAGGCAGAGCAGTTCCCCAAAGGCGCAGCTTCCCCTTTACCCACTTCCCTGAGCAGAGCTCCGATTCCAGTGCAGGCCTAGTTCTGGGTGGGCTCATCTAAAGGTTCCATACCCTCAGCCCCTTCTCTCATTTAGGGTCCCTTAAGGTAAGAGGAAAGTAAGATACCCCTCAAAATCTACTGAACCCCGTGTCACCACTCTCTGAAGGCCTGCGGAGATTCCTCCAGAACCCGGCCCATCTAGGCAAGCCCCACGCAGGGCCAGCATTACCTGGTTGGGGAAGGCTGGCCCCGGCATCTCTGGCGATTGTTTCTGTCGCAGAGCTGCACCTCTCCCTGCCCAGCCGGGTTCCCGCAAGGCCCCGTCTCCAAGGGCTCCGCTCAATTCGGCTGGGCTGGGCTGCTCTGGGCTCCTGGCAGCTCAGCCGCCAGCTCCCGAGGTGCAGCACGCTCGCGCCCTCGCAGGGCGGCAGCGAAGGCGCTGCGTCGGGGTTGGTGAAACAGAAGGGGCGGGGGAAGAAAGGAGGGAAGGAGGCGGGAGGAAGCCGCGCGCGCTTCTCCTCTTCTGCAAAGCAGCGCTAAGGGCGGGGAGAGGGCTATCTTCCCACACCCAGTCTCCAGCAAGAGGTAATTTCTCTCCAAGGCCAGGTTTTTCAGTGCTTGTCAGAGTCCTGCGTGAGCTCCAGAGTCAAGGAATGCAACCAGTGCTCCTCTGTGCTTTAGTTTCTACAGCTGAGTATAGAGGAGTCTCTTCTAGGATTCCTCAGGTTAGACCTAGGATTCAGATTAGGCCTCAGAGAAAGAGATACACTTCCTCCCTCCCCCAACGTGCCAGGTTCTAATTCTAATGCTCCAGGAAGAGCTAGGTGGGCCCTTGTAGCTGCTTCTAAGCAATGAAAGCTTAGCAGCTACTACCTCATCATCATCATCATCATCATCATCATCATTATTTTGAGACAGTCTTGCTGTGTACCCAGGCTCCAGTGCAGTGGCTGGATCTTGGCTTACTGCAGCCTCGAACTCCCTGGGCTCAGATGATCCTCCTGCCTCAGCCTCCCAAGTAGCTGGGACTATAGGTGCCCACCACCACACCTGGTTATTTTTGTATTTTTTTTGTACAGATAGGGTCTGTCATGTTGCCCAGGCTGGTCTCAAACTCCTGTTCTCAAGCAATCCTCCTGTCTCGCCCTCCCAAACTATGGACTACAGGCGTGAGCCACCACATCTGGCCACTGCTATCATTTATTAAGAACTATTGTGTACCAGGTACTTTATAAATTCTATGTCTCTCTCAAAACAACCTTATGAGGTAGGCACTATACCAATTCATATATGTCAAAACAGAGGTCCAGGGAAAATGTGGGCTCATACAATAAGTATTTTTTAACCAACTATTGTGTTTTTGTGTATCAGGCGTTGTGAAGGAACCTGAGCTGAACAACACAGTATAGAAACCAACATGGTCCAGACTAGTAGTGCCTCTAGTAGTGCCGCCCAATTACTGAAACAATAAAACACACCTTCACGCATTTGCAAATGCTCCCTAGGAGGCAGTATTACCCCACTTCTCCCCCTCCCAAACCCTGCTCTTAAAAGACCTGACAGAAGTCAGATTATGTGGTGTCTCTTTCGGGTCATAACTAGGAGTTAGGCTTTTGTCACAAGTTTTAGCTGTGGGAAGGCTCTGGTAGGTTTGAAAGCAGAATGACAAACTCTAACTTACATATTTTAAAAGATCACTGGCTGTTTAGTGGAGAAAGGGGTAGGAGTGGAAATAAGAAAACAAGTTAATGTTCTCTCAGAGATTCAGATAACAGAAAATGGTAATGATTTAGACTAACACATTGTAAGATAACATAAAAAGAAGCAAGCATATTTTCTAAAGACACTTAGAAAAAGCAACAGCAGAACTTGGTGGAAAACAGAATACGATGAGTGAAAGAAGTCAGTGACTTCCCCAAGACCACATATCTGGTAAATGCTCAGCCCTCCTGTCCCTGGTCTAACTTCTAAGCCAATGTTTACTTATTTATTTATTTCTCTCTGCCATACTATGTACAAGAGACCACCATTAGTTATCTCTGTATCAATTGCTGTATCCCTCTTTCTATTGCCAACAAAGAGCAGGTAACTCTTCAGGATTAAGCCTGAAGAATGAATTAAATGGGCTAGAGAGAAACTTTATGGTATCTATCCATTTTCTCTGACAAATGTCTACACCTCCATTCAATGTGCCTAAATTAGTCTAATTGCAGGGGATGTAAGGAAAGAACTCCATGAAGAAAGAACCTGCCTCTCCTGTTAAGTATCATTCGCCCTTCCCAGGCCCTAAATACTCATGCTGTTCCAACTAACAGAAGTCCCAAATTTGATAGAAAAGACAGAGAATTTACTGAGGATACCACATTAAAGAATGAATTTGGTCAGCCAGGCACAGTGACTCAACCTGTAATCCCACCACTTTGGGAGACTGAGGTGGTAGATCACTGGAAGTCAGTTCAAGACCAGCCTGGCCAACATGGTGAAACCCCATCTCTACTAAAAATACAAAAAATTAGCTGAGTGTGGTGGTGGGCACCTGTAATCCCAGCTACTCAGGAGGCTGAAGCAGGAGAATCCCTTGAAGCTGGGAGGCAGAGTTTGCAGTGAGCCGAGATCACACCATTGCACTCCAGCCTGGGCGACAAGAGCGAAACTCCATTTAAAAAAAAAAAAAAAAAAACAGGCTAGGTGCAGTGGCTCATGCCTATAATCCCAGCACTTTGGGAGGCCGAGGCGGGTGGATCACGAGGTCAAGAGATTGAGACCATCCAAGTCAACATGGTGAAACCCCGTCTCTACTAAAAATACAAAAATTAGCTAGGCATGGTGGCGAGCACCTGTAGTCCCAGCTACTTGGGAGGCTGAGGCAGAAGAATTGCTTGAACCCAGGAGGCGGAGGTGATCTGAGATTGCACCATTGCACTGCAGCCTGGGTAACAAGAGTGAAACTCTGTCTCTAAAGAAGGAGGACGGGAAGGAGGGAGGGAGGGAGGAAGGAAAGAAGGAAGGAAGGAAGGAAGGAAGGAAGGAAGGAAGGAAGGAAGGAAGGAGGGAGGGAGGGAGGGAGGGAGGGAGGGAGGGAGGGAGGGAGGGAGGGAGGGAGGGAAGAAAGGAGGGAAGGAAGGAAGGAAGGAGGGAAGGAGGGAAGGAGGGAAGGAGGGAGGGAGGGAGGGAAGAAAGGAGGGAAGGAAGGAAGGAAGGAGGGAAGGAGGGAAGGAGGGAAGGAGGGAGGGAGGGAAGGAAGGAAGGAAGGAGGGAAGGAAGGAGGGAAGGAGGGAGGGAGGGAAGGAGGGAGGGAGGGAGGGAGGGAGGGAGGGAGGAAGGAAGGAAGGAAGGAGAGAGAAAGAAGGAAAGAAAGGGGAGAAAGAAGGAAAGAAGGAGAGAAAGAGGGAAAGAAAAGAAAGGAAAATAATTGTTCAGTAATAGAGACTGGAAGACTTGCTGTAGTCTGAGAATTCAGCTTCGAAGTCATTTTAAGATTTTTTTTTAACCCCACACCCTGTCCTTCATCCCAATTTACACAGGGTGAATGAGAGTCAAAAGTAGTCCTCTGTCTTAGACACAGCTTTTCAAACTAATAATCAATAATCATAGCATATTATCTTACTCAACTTCCCACCCCATGCAGCATCCTCTTATAGATGGTCTTCCAGGCTTTTCTGAAATATATGCAGGAACAAGCAGCTCACTTTTCACTAGCACTATGAGGCAGTGTTTCCTCACATTCAGCCAGGGGCCTCTCTGTAAATTTCCAATTCTGCTCCAGGAGCAACATCCTCCACAGCAAGTCACATTAAAGGCTTTCAATAATATATGTTGAAATACATACACATATATGAAAGATAAATACTCCCAGTTCTTGTAGTCATTTGTTCATTCAACAACTATTTAAGCATTTTGTGCAAGTCACTGGGGATAGACACATCAGTGAACAGAACCACATCTTCAAGGAGTTAATGATTTTATGATTTAGAATGGTGGTTTTCAATTCTCCCTGTCCACCAGAATAACCTGGAAAGCTTTAAATATATGTAAATATACTAGAGTCACAGCAGAGATTCTGAGTCGATTAGTCTGGGATGTGACCTAGGCAATATATTTTTATAGATATAACTATACTGTTATCTATTGGAAGACTGACTTACTATAAAGCTACAGTGATAATGACAATGTGGTATTGGTGAAAAAACAGAGAAATAGATCACTGGAATTGAAGTAAACAGCCCAAAATAGACCCACACAAATGTGGTCAACTGACTGTCAAAGAGAAAAGGAAATTCAATGAAGGACAGTCTTTCAATAAATTGTGCTAGAACTAGACATCCACATCCAAAAAAAAAAAAAAATGAAGCTAGACACAGACTTCATGCTTTTCACAAAAATTAACTCAAAATGGATCACAGACCATTGCATTTGCAAACTGCAAAACTATAAAATGTCTAAAATATAATGTAGGGGAAAATCTAGACGGCCTTGGGTTTGGCAATGACTTTTTTAGGTACAGCGCCAAAATCAAGATCCATGCAAGAAAAATTTGACACATTAGACATGATTGAAATTGAAAAGTTCTATCCTGCAAAAGACAGTGTTAAGAGAATGAAGAAAGAAGCCACAGACTGGGAGAAAACACATCTAATAAAAGGCTTATATCAAAATATACATAGAACTCTTAAAATTTGATAATAGGGCCAGGTGTG